TTCCCTTCCCTTCCCTTCCCTTCCCTTCCCTTCCCTTCCCTTCCCTTCCCTTCCCTTCCCTTCCCTTCCCTTCCCTTCCCTTCCCTTCCCTTCCCTTCCCTTCCCTTCCCTTCCCTTCCCTTCCCAGAGCCAGGGGGCCCAGCCCAGCTCCAGGACCCCACCACAGGAGTGGGATTTCCCTAGAAAATTGCTCTCTGCCAGGGCATCGCTTGCACCCATCCTCCGGTATCATTGGGGCCATGCTCGTGGAGTGGCTCTGCACAGGGGTCAGGACAAGCTTTGGGACCAGGAGGGCACAAAATCCTGGAGGGGGGTCCCCATCACATCCCCGTTGGGTCACCGGGTGTAAGCGGCTGCGCCGCAGGGCAGGGGGAAGGAATGAGCTGGAGGAGGGCGATTGCTGCCCTTCTGCGGGTGTTTCGGGGCTGCTCGGCCTCACCCTGCGTGGCTGGGAGGCTCGGAGTCACCGTGGGTGCTGGGTGCGGGCGAAGAATGAAAGCTGGAGCCGCCACTCGTTGCCTGCAGTCAGCATGGGAAAGGAGGCGCCCGGCTCCCTGCCCCGCTCCGGGGTGAGAGGAGTGAGCAGACGGGGCGGGCTGGTGTTGCCACACTGAGCCGAGAGGTGAAGAAACGCAGGAGCTGCTTGCTTATCTGGAAGACAGATGCTGAAAGAAAAAAAAAATAATGTGGGAAACTCCGAAGGTTGGAGTTTGCTGTGGAGATAGAGCCCAAACAGCCTGTGAGACCTCGGGAGTTTGGCTCTGCCTCAGACACACGAAACATTCCTTTGTCTGGAGCATGGCTTTGTCCGCCTGCCTCTCCTTGACCAGAACCAGACCCAAAGGGCTCCCTGGGCATGGCTCTGACGGCACCTCAAAGGGGTTCAGGGGCAGGGTTCTGGGATCTGGACCAGGGATTCCCCACCTTCGGTCCCGGCTCGGGGAGTCGCCGCGGAGGGAGGCGAGCTGCTCACAGCTGAGGGGGTCCTCGCCCCCTGGCAGGGACAGAAGGGCTGAGCAGGCCTTAGAAGACGAGGCTGGTTGTGTTCAAAACTGCTTTAGCATCCTTATTGCTAAAAACCTCACGGCTAAAACCTCACGGTTAAAACCTCATGGCTGAAAGGTGCCAGCAGAAAAGCGCTCAGCCAGACTTCGGCTTGGTGAGCTGGCGACACGAGGGGAGGTCGCAGCGCCTGGGTGGCCCCGAGGGTGTAAAACTGCAAAAGGGCCAGGGGAAAGAGATCAAAACGCCTGCTGCAAGCACACCCAGCACCAGCCAGGTCTGTCCCCCCTGAGCAAAGTCGAGATGACTGCTCGGTGCCACCCGTCCCCTTGGCTGAGCCAAGCAGCAGCGCACGAGGTGGCCGCGTGCTCGGCGCTGATTCACCGGGGATCGCTTCCGAGTGGGATCTCCTCGGCCCACGCCACGCTGCACCAGGCAGAGCTGGGCTCGGAGCTCCAGGGAGGTGCTCGCCAGGGAACCGAGGCACCGAATGGAACAGGGCCAGGCCCACGCTGCGGGCTGGTGCTCTGCTAACAGCTCGGGACACCAGCCGGCACGGGGCAGCATCGCTCGCTTCCATGCGCACCAAGAGGACAAATCTGAGAGCCCGGTGGTGCCATGGGACTGCCCCTGGCTGCTGGTGGAGGCTGCCTGAAGGCACAGCAAGGCCTGGAGGTCCCGCTGGTGGGACCCAGCTTGGAGAAGGACAGCACAGGGTCACAGAACCGCGGGGTCACGGCGTGGTTTGGGACCTTAGGGACCAGCCGGTCCCACCCCCGGGCTGTGCCCGCTGCCCCATGGCTCAACCTGCCCAGGAGGGAATTTCCATTGCACGCACATCTCCAAATTTCCTTTCATGGTAACAAATCTAAGAAGGCTTCTTTTTTTTTTTTGCAGATAATGTGTGGGGGCTGTCAGGACACGTCCTAGCAGTTGATAAAGAATCAGCAGCTGAGATAGGAACAAAGGCAGCACATTTCACTCCACGCCTCGCTGCGTTTGTTACCCATCTTGGTGTTGTTCAGAGTCACGGAGCGCAGCCCCAGCCAGCCGGTCCCTTCCTGCAGGAGACATCGCTCTCAGGGTTGTGACCTTCAGCGAGTTTCTACTGAGCTCTGAATTGCTGAGATGCACTCGGGAGAACCTGGCCCACAGGGGAAACCCGATGACTCCTAATTAGCTCATATTCATTACATTAAAAGCCCAATTATGTGCTATTGTTTGAGGCAACTGCAACACTGCTGACCCTGGGCCTTTTCACACCAACCCTCACCGCTGCCTTTCTGCTTGCCCACCCCCAGCAGATAATTTCCCCTCCGTCCCGTGCAATCCAAGTGGTCCCGCTCTCCATCCCACCCTGCAGCACACCTGAGGGCGAGATAACATCTGCGACGTGCGTCTCGCTGGAGCAGACGCCGATAGCATCTCCTGAGCGCGATGATGTATTTTTATCTCAAGGGAATTTGTTGTGGGCGAGTGTTTCAGGAGAGCCTGGGAGGCTGAATTCCTCCCGAAGCACAAAATAGCTGCAGTGCCGCACGCGGCTCCGGCACGGCTCTGGCTGCGTCACCGTGCCCTGCTGGCAGGGCTTGGCACAAGGGCAGCTTGGTTTTGGTCCCCCAAAGTTTGGGATTTGAGTTTGGGATTGCTGAGCGGCACCCAGCCAGAGGTCTGGGCAGCAGCGGGCTGCCAGAATGTCGATCAAAAAAGACCAAGAAAAGATGATTCTGCAGGATGACCTCCAGGTCCAGATCTCTTCCCAGCTGTAATAAAAGAGCTTAAACGTGGGCTAAACATCTGAACTCGGATGGTGCAGAATAAAAGCCCCAAACCCTGCTATTTCCTCCCTGTGGGGTTTTGCCTCTCCGTATGGCAGCTGTACCTCCAGGCTGACTTGGCCTAAATCATGGGGGGTGACCCGAGCAGGGATCTGGAGCTGAGAGCACAGATTTGGGCTGACACGAGGGGCTCGGGGCCAAGGCAGGAGCTGCCTGGAGCCGGAGGGTGTTCGCTGGGAGCTGGAACACGAGCGAAGCCAGCACACCTGGAGCAGCCCGGCGCAGGGGTGGCCAAGGGATGGCTCTCACGCAGCTCCCCCACGACGCTGTGCCACGGGGACTGTTGGGAAACACCAAACCCCCCGCTTCGGAGGGAAGCGGGCCAGCAGCCAACGCTGCTCGGAGCCTCGATGCATTGCACAGCTCCGTGCTGCAGGCTGAGCGCACACATCCACGTGCTCTGCCTTTTTTTTTTTGGTGCCGGGGTGCTCCCGGTCCCCTCCTTTCCCCCAGACGTGGCACGTGTGCGTCCCAAGAGCCCAGACCCCAAATGTGAAGCAGGGCAGCTCCCAGGAGGTGCTGTCAGAGACCACAGCCTCGGGCTGGGAGGATCTGGGGTTTGCTTCTGGTTACGCTGCTCCCAGGGGGGCTACCCGGAAAAATCCTAAAACCCCTCCGCAAGCTGCTGAGGACCGAGAGGGACTCTCTGCTAAGTCCCTGAGAGCTAACAGGGTTGTTGCTGTTGTGTCCTTGAGGGAACAGATGAAAGAAAGGAGGCACTATGAATTACCAAGGGTGAGGCTCTGGGAACGTTTTAGCAACTCCAGAATCAGTTAAGTGCTTAGAACGAGAAAACAGCCAGAGGGGGCCCGGGAAGGAAGGAGATCACCACAGGAGAGAAATCACAAAAGGCTTCCTAATCCCTCTTACTCTTTCGCTACCTCACAGGCACCTCTGTTAAAAGAAAGAATAACTCCTCTTATCCGTGAATGACATCTCTGGAGCCGGGCAGGCCAGCTGGTTGGGCGTGCGATTTTCCACTGTGTACTGCAAGACCTGGCGCCACACCACTAAAAGGATTTTTTTTTTTTTTTTTTTTTCCGAGCAAAGAATAAAACAGTGCAGTGTCTCCCTTCCTGGTTCTCTGCTGCTTTTTCACGCTAATACCTGTCCAGCTGCATTACTGTAATCACAAGGCTCAATCCCTTAATAACACGGCGCAGGTGTGGCTATCGGGATGGCTGCATTACCTCACCTCTGCGCATCTCCTCCGGGTTCTCCTGCTTAAACCCTCTGCCTTGCACATGGTGTTGTTCCTCACTGCTGTTTGTGTTGCCCATCACTCAGGCAACACTGGTCCTGCTGAATTCAGTTAGCGTCACTGTCCTGCAGCTCCAAATTTGCAGGAAAAAGCAGATCTGCGTCCAGGCAGAAGGGTAGCTGAGGGCTGATCTTATTCTTCCCACCGAATTGTATGTAAAGTGTCCTGGCAGTGGGTGCATGATGCAGTTCCAATTCTTTTTATCTGATTTAGACTACCGAAACATTACAACTTGCCTCAGCAATGAGATAGGAGAAAGTGAGGCACGGAAACTCTTGGCTTCTACAAACCTTGCAGCAGTCGGGGGCTGCTTCTGTGCAGTTTGTGCAAGGCGATGGAGCAGTGCAGGAGCTGTCGGAGGCTCGACCCCACTGCCCAGGTGCAAGTGGGAAGCGTCAGGCACCTGCAGTTTAAAGAGGCTGAAACACCACCGTTAAGGGGACTTTCCAATCTCTGCAGAGATTCACCCTGAACCAGTACATAAGCAGAAATTAATGGAGTTTCTTCTGTTTTGAACTCCAGGATTTCTGCCAAGCGCAGTATCAGTGCTCAAACACTGCCAGGTCTGTGCTTGTCCCGGGATAGAGGTCCTGGGTGGAACATTTCCATCTGGCTTCGGATCAGCCCAATATAAAGATTATGGATGCTCAGAGCTCTTAAGTCAGCAGCTTTCGTTGGCTTTTGACTCTTTTAAAAAGCAAATAAATAGATTTTTAGATTTTCAGGGTAAAAGACACTTGTGGGCAGCTCGGCGTGTCTCAGGGGATTCACTTGTTACTTCACGAAGGAGCAGCGGGGTGGAGTTGGAGCGAACACCTCCGCTCTCAGGTGCAACAGCAAAATGCTAAAACGTAGCCCTGAGCAAGGAGCCTTCAGTCCTGAATCACGCCTGGGTGCTGGGAACGAAAGCGGAAAGAGCAGCTCCTGTGTGCGCTGCAGTGATCCTGGTGGGATGTGACAAAAGACAAGAAACCAGGGGAGAGAAAAATGATGATTCTGGAATTTGGCTACGAGTGTCAGGGGTGACGAAAAACGCCGGCAACGCCTCCTGCCCGGGCTATAAAGGGCTCCAAGCCCGGGGGAAGCTCACTCTCGCTGTCTGCGCTGCCGAGCCGGGTGTCCCTCTCCAGCGCCACAGCTCCACTGCCCCTCGCCATGAGCACCACCACTGTCAGGCAGTACTCCTCCTCCTCCTCCCTCGGGGGGCTGGGGGGAGGCTCCAGCAGGTTTTCCTGCGTGCGCGGAGGAGGCTACAGAGCCCCCAGCGTCCACGGAGGCTCCAGCAGCTACTCCGTCTCCTCGCGCATCGTCTCGGGGCTGGGCAGCGGCTATGGGGGCAGCTACTGCAGCAGCGTCGGAGGGGGCTTGGGTGCTGCCTTCGGGGGTAGCTACGGGGCCGGCTTCGGAAGCGGCTTCGGGGCCGGCTTCGGAAGCGGTTTCGGAGGTGGCTTTCGGAGGGGGCGATGGCATCCTCCCGGCCGGAGAGAAGGAGACGATGCAGAACCTCAACGACCGCCTGGCCGCCTACCTGGACAAGGTGCGTGCCCTGGAGGATGCCAACACCGACCTGGAGGTGAAGATCCGGGAGTGGTACAAGAAGCAGGGACCTGGTCCCGACCGGGACTACAGCCCCTACTACAGGACCATCGAGGAGCTCAGGAGCAAGGTAGGATGCTGTGGTTAACACAGTGGGACATCTCGTAATTAGAGAGGAAGCAGAAACACTCACCGCTACCTCTAATTAGTTAGGTAACCGCGTGCCTCAGATACACACACAGAGTGCCAGGCTGGGAATTGGGAGATTTCTCAATGTCAGGTCTTGATTGCATCCTTCTAGGTGGGAACAAAGACCGTTTTCACTGAAAGAAGCAGAGGTAAAAGTGCAAAAATGAAGAATTAGAGACAGATCTGCACTGATAATGTGCATTTCCCGAGACTTTAACATGCGTACTTGGGAAAGTTGGAGGTGCCTGCAGACTATGAAACACCACGTGGTATTTGTAAACATCCACTCAATGACCGTGCAGAACACTGTCCCTTATTTCAGCTCCTTGTAATGATGTGATTTAGGCGCTAAGGAGAAAAAGATGGAACTCGCCAGCAGTGAGTTTTTTGCCTCCTTTCAGCAGTCACTGCCACAGGGCCAGGCTTGCTGCAAACCCGCCAACCCAGGCAGGATTTCCCCCAGTTCTGGTTTGATTCCCAACATCCCCTTTCGGGGGAATTGCTCAAAAATTGACTTTGTTCTTCTCTGTTACAGCTTCCGTACAAATCTGCCTCCTTGGCATCATACCTGATGTCCTCCCAGGCTCTGCCCCGAGTCTTTTCCCAGCATGGGTTATTTGCTCCTTTATTTGTAATATAAAAACCAGAAGCTGCAGGCACCTGCTCACCGTGCTTTGCTCCACTTCTGCAGTCAACAAATTAAACCCATCCCAGCACGAACGGCACAAGGGCTGCCAGCCACGAGCACCTGCTGGTCCATCTGCGCACGGTGCCGTGGATGGGAGAGCGGCAATTCCTTCCCGACCCTTGCATAATCACCGCGTGCCCTGGAGCATGGGAACAAGTGCTATTGTCTGATCTCACCCATCTCGTGTGACTTCATGCTGCCTTTTGAAATCCTTAGTGATGGAATTTTGGAAGCGGAGGTCACGGAGTTTTAGGAAAGGGAGGACATCAGACGCTGTCAGTCTCAGCTGTGCCTCACTTCTTGTCGTGACTCAGTGTAGTCTTCAGTTCAGGAAATCCCAAACTTACCCCAAATTGGTCCTGTTCCTCCTACCTCCCGTGTGCGCTGATCAGTCATTTCTGACAATCCTTTTGTGCTTTCTCTTTATTCTCCATCCTCCAGGTGCTGGGGGCCACAGTTGACAACGCCAACCTCCTGCTGCAGATTGACAACGCCAGGCTGACAGCTGATGACTTCAGGACCAAGTAAGCCACATTTCCTGGAGACAGGAACGGAATCTGCAGAGATATTTGATGAAACGAGGGGAAAAATAAACCACCCCAAACCCAGAAAGGCAACTTGGAGGCAAAGCCTTAAAAATGAAGGTGTCATTTCCAAAGCAGCTCATTACCTAAATCTTGTAGGCACTTAGGGGTTGTCTTGCTTCCATCCAGACCTTCACTACTGTATGCCCGCTGCTTGTTGCTCTCTGGTGTGAGCTCTCCGGCACAGACAGCTTGCACTGAGCCTCTGCTATGCTTTTAATTACTGGCTCAGCAATGCCCAAACCCAGTGATAAGGCCCCACCATGTCAGGGGGAAGGCAGTATTAAGGACTCAGGGGGGCACCGTGCTCTCAGGTGCTCCCCTCACTCAGGAGCACTCACCATGTGTGCACCACGGGGGTCACGCAGCTTTGACACAACACCAGCAGTGTGGAGGACGTGGGCAGTATTTGAGGGGCTCTGTCCCAGCAGGGTAGGATCTCCTGTGTCCTTCCTCAGTGTTCCTGTGCCTGCAGGTTTGAGACGGAGCAGGCTCTGCGCCTGAGCGTGGAGGCCGACATCAATGGGCTGCGCAGAGTCCTGGACGAGCTGACCCTGGCCAGAGCTGACCTGGAGATGCAGATTGAATCGCTGAAGGAGGAGCTGGCCTACCTCAAGAAGAACCACGAGGAGGTGAGCATGGAGCCGGGCTCAGAAAAGTCTCCAGACTGGGGCCAGAAATACGAGCTCTGGTCCAGTCTTAGGCTATGCTGGATTTCCTTTGCTGGGGGGGAAGATGAGACCTGCGGGTAAGGGAGCAGAGATGATGCGTTATGGATGACAGCATCCACTCTGGATGCTGGGGTAAAACCCGGTCACCACTTGATATTTCAGTAATGTCCACCATGGCTGTTAGAGGTTTATTGACATCCCAGCAGCTCCAGGCATGGCAGACCAATCTCATGAGCAACGAAGCCAGCTGCAAGCTCTGATTTATTCTCAGAAAAAAAGCCAGATTTAACTCAAATGGAGATTTCTTAAGATACAATTTGGGTTATTTTATTTGTGATAGCAGAGCATAGCTCCCAGTTTGGTCCCTGTTGCTACCTGCCCCAGAAGTATGTCCAGGAGGATGCCTGTCTTTTCCTGAAAAGCTGTCTTGAGAAGAACATCCTTATGCATGGATTGGTGGATCCATGAAGACGTGTGTCTCTTTTCCTGCAGGAGATGAACGCCCTGCGTGGGCAGGTGGGTGGAGAGATCAGCGTGGAGATGGACGCTGCTCCTGGCATCGACCTCACCAAGATCCTGACCGACATGAGGGAGCAGTACGAGAGCCTGGCCGAGAAGAACCGCAGGGACGCCGAGCAGTGGTTCTTCAGCAAGGTGAGCTCGCTCACCTGCCCGTGGCACCATGGGGCACACGGGGCCCGAGGCTGAGCCCCCTCACCTGGCTGTAACGGCACGGCTTGGCCTTCTTGCAGACGGAGGAGCTGAACCGCGAGGTGGCCATCAACACGGAGCAGCTCCAGAGCGGCAAGACGGAGATCACGGAGCTGCGACGCACCATCCAGAGCCTGGAGATCGACCTGCAGTCCCAGCTCAGCACGGTACGAGGGGCTGCTGCCTGTGGGCAGGGGGTCCCCTGGCTGGTCCCCTCCCTTCCCCATCATCCTTGTCCCCCTCTGACCCCGTCCTTCTCCTCTACACACAGAAAGCGGCGCTGGAGGGCACCTTGGCCGACACAGAGAACCGCTACGGCGCCCAGCTGGCCCAGCTGCAGGGGCTGATCACCAGCGTGGAGGAGCAGCTGGGCGAGCTGCGCTGCGACATGGAGCGCCAGAACCACGAGTACAGGGTCCTGCTGGACGTCAAGTGCCGCCTGGAGCAGGAGATCGCCACGTACCGCCGCCTCCTGGAGGGCGAGGATGCCCAGTGCGTAAAGGGCTTCGCTCGGGTTGGAAGGGGACAGGTGGTAGCAAAGGAAATGTAAAATGATCAGCTTATATTCTCTGGAGGGTCCTGTGAGCCCATTTCCTGACCCGTGGCATGCCACCAGGTCTTTGTTTTCACTCCTGCTCATGCAGAACAGCCTGGGGGTTATTAAAGCACTGCAGCAGCCCTGGGGAAGGAGCAGGTACCAGCGCTGCTCATTGCAGCAGGGCAGGGTGCTGCCTTAATGCCCAAACCCCCCCGGCACTCAAACCTCCTGATCATTTTCTTCCTCTCAATCTTAACATGAAGTAGTCTTCTGAAGGCATTTTAATTATGTTCTGGTACAAGAAGAAAGGGCAGGGTTTAAAATACTGATGTTGTCCTAGAGACCGCTCACTCTTTTCCCCAGTTCTGACCGTATTTCCTTTTTCCCCTCCTGCAGCATGTCCTCCCACTACATCTCGCAGCCTGTGAAAGAAGGTAAGAACGCCTCAGTTCTGCAGCACTGATCACACCGAGCTGTCACATCCTTATCACCGTCTTAGTACAGTCTCATACTTACTAAGATAATAAAATAACCACTCTGCTAGCTTTTCCAAATGTGAATTGACAGGAGCAATTCTTCTGATACACCCAAACCATGTTTTAGAAGACTATTGGTGTAGACTGAAGCTCTACTAAAGTATTTAGGAGCAGGAATGCTGTTTTTTAATCGTATTTCTGAGACAGCTGCTGCTAATAACAAATCCACCCACGAAATTTATGATAAGGTGCTTGAAATAACTAACGGTTCCTTCTTTCTCCGCTGTAGCTCCCGTAACTACCCGCCAGATCCGCACGATCTTCGAGGAAGTGCAGGACGGGAAGGTGATTTCCTCCCGCGAGCAGATCACCCAGGCTGCCCGCTGAGCCGGCGGCGTGGTTTCCTGCAAACCTCCTGCAGCAAAGCGCGAGAAGATGCCAGCTTTGTGTGCTCCGGCTACGCAGCTCCGGAAAAGCAGCTTCTCTTTTTATCCCACCGCTGCGTCCCTCACCCTTTCTCTAAGCGCCGTGCTTGGAAATCAAATAAAGCTTTTGGCATTCGTGCAAACCCGAGTCTTGTGTCATCTGGTGGCGTTGCTCCGTAGGGCCAGGCTGCCCCAATACCTATAGGGCAAAGCTCCTCTGGAAGCAGCAGCGTTCTCATCGGCTGGTCTGCAGGTGGTGGGTGAGACACCCACGCTTCTGAGCACCCGAGCCCTTGCTGCTTGGCTGTGGGTGGAGGTGGAGAGAGGAACTGGGAGAGGAGCAGGTTACAGGGTCACAGGAGGTGAGACTTGAGAGGGGTTTTCGGCTACAGCCGAGGCACTGTGAATTTCTGTGCTGCCATGTGCAGTGACAGCAGAGCTGAAGCTTTTGGATCAGGGAGCCCAAGCAAGGAAGGGAACAAAAAGCAGGACACGCAGCCAGGACCCTGCAGGCAGCTCTGCTCCTGGCCTTGCCCTGGTTGTCCTGCAGTCCAGACACAAGCTTCAGTGGTGAAATGAGGCCGTGGATGGGTTAGGGATGCACGGGGTGCTGCCCCTCTAGAAATACAGCTTCGCTTAGTTCTTGCTCTCAAGGCACTGCTAAGGGGTGCTGAGAACAAGGGGTAGTAAGTGGTGGGCATGGGCTCTGCAAGCAGAGACAGAAGCTCTTTGGGGAGGTCCTTCTGGCACTCCTGGCTGTCAGCGGTGTTCCTGACACAGCAGATCTCGGTGCCGTCAGCCGGCCCAGCTGTTCCTGGAAAGCCAGTTCAGACACATTCTTGGCTGGGTTCTGCCATATTACTTCATAAATCCACCTTTCAGATCAATGGGGTGATTCAGAAAGGTGCTGCTCGATGTGTGTGAGAACAGAGCTGGCCACGCAGCTTTAAGTCCCCTTTCCAGAACACCTGCCTGCATTGTATGCAGATATAAGATAGAATCAGAATTCCTGATCCCCAAAACATTGAAAGGGTCCCCACAGTGCACCCTTGCTGTGGGAAGGCACAGGGGTGCCTGGTCTAGCCCTGAGCTGGCTCCTGCCTGGTTTTGGGTGCAGCCCCGTGCAGCCCAGCCTGTTTTTGGGTGGGCTGCACCCAACCCATCCATCTCAGGGCACTCTGCTCCATGTGCCCCCTGCAGCTTGCATCCCCCTGGGGTTCCAGCACGGTGCTGGTACCCGAGCGAGGCAGCTGAAAGCACGCCCAGCATCTCCCGAGCTGCAGCACACGTGGCTTTGGCTTGGAAGCTCGTGGCTGACAACCGGTGATCTCATTTCCACTGGGATTCCACCAAAGGACACACGAACACATCCCGGGGAAGGAGTGCTGTGGGCAGGAAGGCAACTAACACCGCTGTTACCGACACCGGTGGCGGACAGCCCAGGAGTAAATCACGGCACAAATCCTGCCCCGAGGCGGTGCTGCTGCAGCTCTGCTCTCCTTGCGACCGCTGCACCCGCAAGGGCTCCGTGCGGGATGCGGGCAGGCACGGAGCTCAGATGGATGAGAAAGGAGGGGACGGACCCCCCAAGTCTCCTCGTAGGGACCCCCAGGTCTCCCCGCGGGTGGTGCAGGGACCACCAGGACCTCTTGCAGCAACTCCCGGCGTGCAGATGCTGAAAGAGCCTCTCTGGAATCCGTCCTTGCTTTGTGTTTTTCTCCTGGAAAAGCCCGGGCACATCCATGCTGCTGTAAAAACAATAAATATCAGCTCGCTAACAAAATCCCCTATTTTAATTACGCCTGCTACTGCAAATTGCAAGATAGGTGTGGAAAGCAGATGTGGATTCTCTCCTGCCTAAAGCGCTGACAATTAGTCCTCACCTTAAGAAACCCGTTGAGGAGGGAGCTGCAGGTGGTGGCTTATGCAGACAGGCAGCGGCAGCTTGAGGCAGGTTTCAGAAAGAGGGATTTTATTCCAGAGAGACGGATTGACTTCTCAGGATACAGGGAATTAATCTGGCATAAGAGACCACTTCATGAAGAGATACGAAGGGGTGGGTTTTCCACTCCTTTTAGGGAACTTCTGTGTGATAATTTGATATTTGCAAGCCCACTAAAAAAAACACAGATGTGTTCTTGTCCAAATACTTCCATCTACCACGTGTCTGTGTGTTGAATACATGTTTGGAGCCAGATTTTTATCTCCATTTTCCTCCTGGAGACAGAACGGCATGTTTAAACACCAACACGCTACCAGGAAATGACTGTTATGCCATAGAAATGGCATTTTGATTTTGAAATGTGTAAGAAATAGGCTCCTAGTGTGCACGGGAGCCTGATTTATTAATAGTTGGCCTTTTATTTAAAAGAGAAGGTGAAACAAACAATATGTAGTCATTAGTGGTTGTGTTCAATGGGAGGTCATGCTAAGTAATGACTTAGAATTTTTAATTTGTTGTTTTAAGCCTTAATTAACACCTCCTAATTTTAATTGCTGCTGGGCGGTATTATCAAAGTATCCTAGACACTTTGAGCGACGTGTATTTTTACGACACTTATAGCGGTTCAACAGAGAACAAAGGATGAAAGAAAAGGTAATTTCACGTAAGGAAAGGACTTGCTGTCCGCCTCGTAACGCTGTGATGGTTTTGCATCCTACACAGGGGCTGTGGGGAGCTGGTTACTGCTGCTGGCTGACTGTCCCTGAAGGCTTCACCAGCGTCCAGGCTGAGGGTTTGGGCTTGTAGAGGGACTTGCTGGTGTCGCTGGTGGTCCCCTTTCAGCGGGGATGATCCGTGAGCTCTGCCTCTTGATGTTATCAAGGTGAAGCTGTGGATGGAGCTGGAGAAGAAAGTGCCAGGCTCGGAGCTCCCGGCCCCTGCCTCCCTTGTGCTGCATCCAAAGAGGAGAGGAACAAAACACGGGTGTCAAGCGGCTCCAAGCCTCGGCTGCTGGTGCTCACATCCACAAGAAGGTGCCTTCGCCAAGAGACCGAAGGCTCCCTCCATCCGGAGAGCACACGGAGGAGCTTTTGGGTCTCCTCCTCCTCTGCCAGCGGGCTGCTGTGCAGATCTGCCTCCGAGCGGGCACATCTGCCGCTGTGCTTCCCCATAGCTGCCAGCGAGTGGAATCCCAAGGGCACGTCCCAGCCCCGTATCGCTCCCAGCTGCCTTCGCAGATGGGAGGGCGTCGTGCCATTCAAAGCTACTTAGCCCGTACCTTCGTTGCGTATTTCCAAGTTCTTTCCCCCCCGTTCCTGGCAAGTGATCTAACGAATTAGTTGGCTGTTGGGAAGGGGTTGTTGGGGCCTGTCGATGAACACAGCCGAACAGCTCACCGTGCGCACACATGAGAAATATCTTCTCTTCCACACCCTGCATGATTAGCGAGTGACACTCAGGGTTGCGGTTTCAGCACGGAGAACCGACAGCCGAGCTCGACCACGCATGGGACACGGGTCTCCTGGAGCCTCCTCGCTCTGCAGGGCAGCCAAGATCCCCCAAATCCCTCTTTACACGGGAGCTGTGAGCTCCAGACTCACACTGAAGTCGTCCTCCCTGCTCACAACTGATTGGGATGTTCACACCAAAAGCAGTGTTAGCGTTAGCTGCTTCACCACGGTGCTGCCAGCTTCCAGCTCTTTGCTCCCCAGTGCTCAGTGACCAGGAGCCCTTTTCCCAACATCCTTCATTTGCTTGATGCAATTCTCCATTTTTTTCCTGGAGAATCCCATTATTTTTAAGCTATTGCAGCTAGTAGCCATGCCCTGCCCTTTCTGAACAGTTTTCAAAGCTTGTTCACAAAGAACCAGGGAGAACAACCCCTCCTTACTGCCTGCCCTTATTCCTCCGCTCTTGGGTGGTCTCAGAAGGGCAGAACTGAATGAGCCCTGAAGGATCAACTCCTTTTTCAATGCTGGATGAAAGGGAGGACTTGCATTTCCAGGACTGGCAGCCAAGTTCCTTCCAGCACCGCTGGGCTCACAGATGTGGATGGATTTTGGGCTTCCCTGCTTGGTCGTGGTCCTGCAGCCGGGCTGTGCAGTGTGAGCAGGGGACGGTGGTAGCTGAGACAAACAGACACAGCAAAAGAGATGTTGACTTAATCCACTCAAACACAGGCTGAATTCTGAGCTAACACCACAAAGGAATATTAAAATGTAGCCCTGAGCAAGGAGCCTCCTCCTTTGAATCACACCTGACTATTTACTTGGAAACGGAAGAAGTTTTATAACGCCCTTCTTGAGATAAGGTGTTTCGAGTGAAATATGACAAAAAGCATGAGAGAACAAAGGAAAAATGACGATTCTGGAAGTTGGCTCAGATTTTAGGAGTGATGAAAATCATCGGGAATGCAACAACAAAAAAAAAAAAAGCGCCGGCAACGCCTCCTGCCCGGGCTATAAAGGGCTCCAAGCCCGGGGGAAGCTCACTCTCGCTGTCTGCGCTGCCGAGCCGGGTGTCCCTCTCCAGCGCCACAGCTCCACTGATCCCTCGCCATGAGCACCACCACTGTCAGGCAGTACTCCTCCTCTTCCTCCCTCAAGGGCCTGGGAGGCCTGGGGGGGGGCTCCAGCAGGCTTTCCTGCGTGCGCGGAGGAGGCTACAGAGCCCCCAGCGTCCACGGAGGCTCCAGCAGCTACTCCGTCTCCTCGCGCATCGTCTCAGGGGCTGGGCAGCGGCTATGGGGGCAGCTACTGCAGCAGCGTCGGAGGGGGCTTGGGTGCTGCCTTCGGGGGTAGCTACGGGGCTGGCTTCGGAAGCGGCTTCGGGGCCGGCTTCGGAAGCGGTTTCGGAGGTGGCTTCGGAGGGGGCGATGGCATCCTCCCGGCCGGAGAGAAGGAGACGATGCAGAACCTCAATGACCGCCTGGCCGCCTACCTGGACAAGGTGCGTGCCCTGGAGGATGCCAACACCGACCTGGAGGTGAAGATCCGGGAGTGGTACAAGAAGCAGGGACCTGGTCCCGACCGGGACTACAGCCCCTACTACAGGACCATCGAGGAGCTCAGGAGCAAGGTAGGATGCTGTGGTTATCCAAGTCCTCACTAAAGTCCCTTGTTTTAAAGATGAGCCTGTCCCTAAAACCTAAAGGGACAAGAATTAACAGATGACAGGTAATGGTCTGAGATGGGAAAAGAGAAATACCTTGCTGGGAAATCATAGCCATAATCTGTTAGCAGCAGTTTATGGACCACAGTCCTCCACGAGGCACAAGGATGTGCTTTCAGTTGGGTATTTCAGTGCAGGGAGGAAGGCTGAGCAGGAAAGCTGGAGCCTGAGGGTATCGGACACTGGCTCAGGTTCTCAGGCATTGCCCACTTCTCCTCGATGCTGCTCCTGCCCCAAGTGTGTGCTGCCTTTGCCAGGCTCCTGACTGAGCATTCTGCAGGCAGGGACACGTTATCTCCTTGTGCCTGTTCACTCCTGAAGAATGATATGCAAGCTGTGATGCCAAGCAGTTCTGGTGAAGATCCTACAAATCAGATCGTTTCTAGCCCGATAGGAGGCTGAGCAGAGGAGCTTAAAATGAAGGAACTGCCCCATGGGATGCTTCTTCTTTGGGAGGTGCAAGCACAGGCTCAAGTGAAAAACCAGGAGGAGCCAGGGCAGAGGGGTTGCAGGAGGTGGCTTCAGAGGTGCTGAACTCAGCTGAGCTGAAACACAGCACAGGAAATCACGGCCCAGCTTGTTCCTTTGTTCCTAGCAGCCCCCTGGCTGATTTTAGGCAAAGGTCCTTGGGCAAAAGGACCTGAATCTGTCCTTCCCCTCCTGCCCTGCCATCGTGTTCCTCTCCACGACCAGCTCTGCCCATATTACTCACTGGGAGCTGACTGCATGGTCCTTCAGCACTGTCTACGCCAGGTGACAGCATCCTTGGTCAGCCCAGGCTCCACCGGAGGGGACGGAGGTGTGCGGGTGGGCATCTGTCCTGCCTGTGATGGCAAACGCCAGGGAAAGGGGCAGTGGCACTGGCAGGCTCTGGTCAACCTAGAACTTTTCAGTTCTTTTCCCTTTCTCCTGGCTTCACGACGGGGTGAAAGGCTCTTGCCTTGACACACGAAGCTCCTCTTCAAATTGCAGCTCATCGGGCGCGCTCTGACCTGCAGCACGGAGAAGCTGCGGAGGCGAGCAGTGAACTGCTGGTCTCAGAAAGCCTCTGCCCAGGGCGAGGCAGCCCCTTCCTCCCTCCTCCTGCAGCTGCCAAATTGCGAGCTCAATATTCCCTCCTGGATTACTGCTAAAACACCCCCCGAAGCATCACAGCTCAGCGCGAGCTTTTCATTAGCTTGTGGCTACAGAAATTACTGCTCATTAAATGGCCAATCATTTTCTGAATCCCAGAACAAATATTTGCACCCGGGGTGCAATTACGAAAGCAATCCGGGCACAAGGCACTCCTTCCTCACCTCCCTTCTCGGCTGGGCCAGTTCGGTGCTGCCAGACGTGGCCCAGGGCACTGCCAGGACTCTGAGAGCTGCGGGAGTGTCCGGAGATGCCGCTCCAGCAGGGAACAGGTTGTGACACGTGCGCGTGCCGGCGCCTTCACAAGACCAAATTCGTGCCAAGGAGGGATTGAGCTGCAGCATCCCGCCTCTCTCTGCAGTCCCTGTGGAAGTCCAGCCCAAGGGCAGGCGGTTCTGTGCTGCTGCAGTCCTGAACAGGAACTCTGACAGCAACATGCAAGTTACGGAATGACCTTTTCACTCCTTTTTTTTCTTTTTTTCCCTCCCAGATTCTTGCTGCTACCGTCGAAAATGCCAACATCGTCTTACAGATTGACAATGCCAGGCTGGCAGCTGATGACTTCAGAACCAAGTAAGTGCAATGCCTAACGGAGCTCCTGGGAGGAGGGAGGGAAAAGCCAGCCCATTTAAGGCTTCTCTTTGCTTTCTGCAACCGAAGTCGCACCACCAGCTCACTGCTGGCTGCGGGACATTTGGGTGTGTGCATCTCTTCCTGGACACAGCGTTGTCCTGACATTCCTGCTCTGTAGAGAGCTGTGCATGCACATGCAAGGTGCTTGGCAGAAATGCACACACTAGGGAAGAAAAAACAAGAAGAAAAAATCTGTATCAGCAGGGCTCCATGGATTAACTGTGAGTGTGTGCCCGCAGGTTTGAGACGGAGCAGGCTCTGCGCCTGAGCGTGGAGGCTGACATCAATGGCCTGCGCAGAGTCCTGGACTGAGCTGACCCTGGCCAGAGCTGACCTGGAGATGCAGATTGAGAACCTGAAGGAGGAGCTGGCCTACCTCAAGAAGAACCACGAGGAGGTGAGCATGGAGCCGGGCACAAACTGGTGCTGACAAAATGGACCTTGTGTGCAATGGAAAGGGGGCCAGGTGCAGCGTGCAGGACTGTCTGCAATTAGGGCTGTCAGGAGACACACAAATGCACATGGGGAAGGGCGGTGATCCCTAAAGACAGGAGGTCTGTGAGGTTCAGCTGCTGGGTGTGAATAACAGGAGTGATGTGAAATTTGTCACGGTGAAAATATGATGGTTCCACTCCAATGTGCCTCTTTTCCTGCAGGAGATGAACGCCCTGCGTGGGCAGGTGGGTGGAGAGATCAGCGTGGAGATGGACGCTGCTCCTGGCATCGACCTCACCAAGATCCTGGCTGACATGAGGGAGCAGTACGAGAGCCTGGCCGAGAAGAACCGCAGGGACGCCGAGCAGTGGTTCTTCAGCAAGGTGAGCTTGTTGCCTGCCTGCATAACTGTGGGGCCCGAGGCTGAGCCCCCTCACCTGGCTGTAACGGCACGGCTTGGCCTTCTTGCAGACGGAGGAGCTGAACCGCGAGGTGGCCATCAACACGGAGCAGCTCCAGAGCGGCAAGACGGAGATCACGGAGCTGCGACGCACCATCCAGAGCCTGGAGATCGACCTGCAGTCCCAGCTCAGCACGGTACGAGGGGCTGCTGCCTGTGGGCAGGGGGTCCCCTGGCTGGTCCCCTCCCTTCCCCATCATCCTTGTCCCCCTCTGACCCCGTCCTTCTCCTCTACACACAGAAAGCGGCGCTGGAGGGCACCTTGGCCGACACAGAGAACCGCTACGGCGCCCAGCTGGCCCAGCTGCAGGGGCTGATCACCAGCGTGGAGGAGCAGCTGGGCGAGCTGCGCTGCGACATGGAGCGCCAGAACCACGAGTACAGGGTCCTGCTGGACGTCAAGTGCCGCCTGGAGCAGGAGATCGCCACGTACCGCCGCCTCCTGGAGGGCGAGGACGCCCAGTGCGTAAAGGGCTTCACTTGGGGCAGCTGGGGTCAGAGGGGACAGGCAGTAGGCAGAAAAATTTGCTGGCCAGGGCCTCACCCTGATTGCAGCTTTCACGGCTCAGTGCTGCTGTTCATGCCAGCCACAGAAGCCCAATAGCTCTGTCCCTGGCTTCTGTCTGTAGTGGGATGCTTGCAGCAGGGCACTGGTCCCATCTGGAAGGGGGCAATGGTTCCCTCTCCCTCCAGGAGACACCGAGCACAGCAGATGTTATTGCAGCCCCCATGAGACTTCTCTGTTTTGCTCCCCTGCCTCAGTACAGAGCCCACAAAGCAATAAAGTTTGTCCCTAACTTCTCTTTTGTTTTCTCCTTCTCTTGCAGCATCTCTTCCCAGTACTCCTCTGCGATGTCCTCGCACTCCGGCAGGGACGGTAAGAGCGCACCTTGCCCCGCACACCATGCACACAGCTTTGGGGCTTGCTCCTAGAGCAGCTGCCAGCCTGGCTGAGGAGCAGTCCTCAGGTGTGCCTCGCCGGCTGAGGCAGTGTCAGCAGCCAGGACACGGCGTGCGAGCATCTTACAACGAGTAACCACAGGAAAAAGCTGTCAGGAAGGGAAATGCCTCGCATGCCTTTATCGCAGGAATGATTCGGCCTAAATGAGCCCTGTGACCGAGCAGCCAGCGCTGCACCTGGGGGCAGACCTGCAGGACCAAACTGCACCAGGAATTTAGGGAGTGGGCCCTTTGCCTTCCCGAGCCTGCTCAGCAGCCTGGCTCTTCCCTCCTCCAGCCCTACGGAGCTGTTCCAAGCCGTGCTGGCTGGCACCCCAGTGGGATTTCCCACATCGTCCTCGTGCAGCACCCGAGCCCCTGGTAGGAGATCTCTCCCCTCCCTGCCCGCCAAATAACTTTCTCCCTCTTCCCTTGCGCAGGGATGACGTCCTCCCGCCAGGTCCGCACGATCGTGGAGGAGGTGCAGGACGGGAAGGTGGTGTCCTCCCGGGAGCAGGTCGCCCTCACCACCCGCTAACGGCGCTGGGGACCCTCGGCCCCATGCTCAGGCTCGTGGCCGCTGACCCAAGCCCTGGCCGAGGCTCTGTTCGGCTGGGGCTGTGCCGCAGGCAGCTTCACCCGGCTGCTTCTGCGCCCTGATTTACCCTGATTTTTGCGCAGGTGCTAACGTGCACTCTGTACACATTTAATAAAGCTTTTTTTTTTTCATCCATGCAACTGCAGACTTGTCTGTCCCTGATAGGTGATCTCGCAAAGCCCCGGGGTTGTGTGTTCGCGCCAGGGAAAGTCCTGAGAAACCACATGAAGGAGCTGGCGTGGGGAGGGGAGCAGAGGAGCACGGGTTCCACTTGGCGCAAAAATAATTTGGGGCAGCTTTTAACACTGAGCACAGGCCCATGGGATGACTGAGACGTACACTGATCGTTTTGATGTGAAATGAAGGCAAGGATGCTTTCGGACAAAGTGCCAAACGGGAGCTGCTTAAAGCCAACAAAACAAAGCTCTGTTCTCAAAGTCCTGATATTGTAAAGAATCCCTTTCACCTACAGGCTGAACTTAAACGAGCACAGCATCAGACGGCTTGGCAAACCTTGCACAAACATTCCTTCTGTCTCATTTGCCTGTCTTAAAATCACACTATTAGGCGCATTGCACGAAAACTTCATGCAGGCATTTTAACGTTGCCGAGGGCTGCATTTAACAGGCTCTGAAATAACCACTGCTTAATCTGCAGCGCGATGAGTGGCAATAACTTTTTATCACTGTGACATCTAGTAGATCGCTGCTAAAATCCTTCTTGAAACATGAGCTGGTTATCGTTATGTCAACACCGTCTGCGGGCACGCTGCCACGCAGGACGAGGTGATGCAACCCGCGCACGGGCAGCCTGGTACCAGGCTGAGCCTTTGCTTTGCCCACTCACTTCCCACGGAGTAGCAGCAGGAACCAAAGGGTGCTGCGCTTGTCGCACAGTCCCCCACGTGTATTTTGTGGGCTAGAGATGGGAGAGAACATCATCTCAGAGCCAAAAGGCTGGTGGATCACTTAGATCCAAAAATACACAATATAAGGATATTAGGGAGAAATTCTGTACTCGGAGGGCAGTGAGTACCACCCAGGCTGCTCCGAGGAGCTGGGGGTGCCCTGTCCCTGCAGTGCCCAAGGCCAGGCTGGATGGGGCTGGGGGCAGCCTGGGCTGCTGGAGGGGTCCCTGCCCGTGGCAGGGGTTGGAATGAGGTGGGCTTTGAGGTCCCTTCCAACCCAAACCATTCTGTGATCCTACAAGGGGCTTCTGCGGCTCAATTCAGGCAGGTTTGTCTCTTGGATTGTTATTGATGATTCATCCTCTTCAGCCTCCGGAAAGGCATCGAGGCACTTATTGAACAAGAACAAAGGCACGCACCCGGCCTGAGCAGACTCTTGAAAAGAGCTGACGATGCCATGCGAGGCATGACGAGACAAGCAGAGGCACGGGAAGGTGATCGAAGAAGTGGGGAACCCGCCAGGTCTTTCCAGAAAAGGGAGTGTGTTCAGAGGTGATGCTATCATTCTGTGTTATTGTTCAGCAATTACAGAAAAAAAAAAAGTAGGAAATGAAACAAAAACCAGAGTGCAGGGTTCATTGACTGTATCATGCTTTGCTCAACTGCAGACCTTCCTTGCGGAAAGAGGAAGTCTCCCAACCCAAGCGAGCTACACCCGTCTCAGAAATAAAAACTAGATCAAGCAAAAATGTACTGTAGCATCAAGCTGTCCTGCCCTTTATGGCGATGGACAAGGTGCAGAGTGGAAATTCTGATTAAACTCAAAATCACAGAATCATAGAATCATTAAGATTGGAAAAGACCTTCCAGATCATCTGGTCCAACCATCACCCTACTACCAAAATGCGTCGGTTTTTGCCATCAGAAGATATTTATTTTATTTCAGATGTATATGTAGGCAGCTATTGGACTCTCAGGCCGGAATGCCCCAAGTGTACCGAACACAGAAGGGCTTTCTGGAAAAAAAACCAACCATTTCAATGTAAGTAGGAGGCTAAAAGAAGGCACCGGTCCAAGAGCACTGCCTCTGCTGGTGGCCCAGTAAGGCATGGCCAGAAGGACGCAAGGGAGAGATTGCAGGAATGGCCTGAACTGAATGCCTGGGAGGTGAGCTGGGAGAGCCGATGGGAAGCCCAGCTTTGTAATCCATTCAGTTCCATTCGGGGGATCATATTGGGCATTTTCCCAATTCACCAACATATATTTGCTTTAACAAAAAGGCTTAAATCCTGCATAAGGCTCTCCATAGCCCTATTACCACAAACAGGATGGAAGGCCATGCTTAGCACACGTACGTGATTGCTGTGTTGCATTACAGTGATCAAACAGAAGGAAAATACCACCTAGCCATTAGGGAATTTATTTTCTATTATTACACCTTGCTCTACAATTATCGCTTGCATCTGTGAAATGTGGACAAATTATCACACCCAAGAGATGGAGAAACATCGGTTTTGGGGAGCGTTTCTCGAGTTTTCTGCAAGATGCAAGAACAAGAAAAGCTTTGGTGGGACTCAGCAAAGACTTACAAAAGTCCTCTGCAAAGAGTGGTGAAACTTTAATGGACAGTGAAACAAAAAAGGAAAACCAAGAATGTCTTTGAGAGATATTTCATCAGCTGAGACACGGAGACAAGTGTGTAGGATGTGCTGGTGTCAAGCTTGATGTGTAATAACAGGAGTACATGCAATGAGTAAGACTTAACACGAGGATTGTGTTTCCCACCTTTAAAGCTCCATGTTCACATCAGATGTTCTACAACGCCCTTAAGAAAAGGATTACTATTATTGTTATTTCCGTCCTACAGAGCATGAAATTGAGACTCAAGCTGAACGATTTGCCTGGAGTGATTTACAAAGCTGGGCTCAGAACCCTGGCGCTTCTGGCGTCATCAGCGAGTCGGAAAACAGTTTCGGTGCAGCAGTAACACCCTGAAAACCTGGGAATGACAGTTTAGTCAACAGCTAGATAAGAAAATACTCGTAAACAGCATACACGAGAATTTTCTAGGGGCGAAATCCTGAAGCTTGGCTGAGAAAGAGCAGCTGTGGGGCCGCTCACAGCTCTCACCGCTGTGCCGATGCCTCCTGATAAGGATAGCCGAGCCAGAAACCAGAGATGAACAGGCTGAAGGGACTTCTCCGAGCCCTGGCCATGTGTTTTGGGTGCCAGCCACTGCCTGGTGCTCAGCCTCTCTCCCTTGGCACTCCCTGGTGGTTGCTTTGAGCCCAGACGTGAGCGTGGGCTCGCGGTCAGGCAGGGCGAGGGGCAGCAGCTCGGGGCTCCGGTGCCGCGCGTGAGTCACGACGTCTGCGGGGCAGTTCTGGGTGCGAGCACAGCTCATGACTCAGGGATACCTGGAATAATGTGAAATGCTGCATCTCCCTCTTGGGGGCACATTACACTTTCTTTACTTCATACTTCATGCTGCTTAAGAAAGAGACTCAAGTCTTAAAATATTCCGAGACGACCAAAGGACTTCTCTCCGGGGAAATCCAGTCCTTTCTCATTTTCATCCCTCTTTTGAACCTGATGATTTTGTACAGGAGACCAGCCCTTGGGAATAATGCCACAGAGCCCATCCTCTACCACCGTCCTGCTCTCCTTTTTAAAGCGGAGTGCCAGAAGTAAATGTGAAGTTGTGGTATAATTCCTTCCTTTCCATTTTTTTTTCACGAAATCACATGGGAACAGCACCTTCGCCTAGGGGAGGCTTTTCCCTAGCTCATTTGTTATTTGAAATTATCTTTCCTTGTCAGGCCTGCACTGCTCTTTTCTGAAATGCCTGCCTGGGGAATCCACACGGGCCTTCCCTCCTCTGCTCCGTGCCCCCGGGCACAGCGCTACCTGCCGAGGGGCTCCGAGGTCGGCCGAGGACGGCTCGTCGGAGGCATCGCCCACGGCCGTGCCGAGCACGTTTCCTGCTGGAGACTCCAGTCTGGAAGCCAACAAAAGCGGGCTCTGCAAAGCGCCTTCCATTACGCATGTAGATAGCATCGTTAGCAGAGATCTTCATCCGAAATGGAAATCTCCTTTAATAAAAGGAAGACTGCAGCTGCTGGCGGGTCTTGAGGTATGGGCTGGTGTAAAAGCAAGAGCTGGTTTTAATAAAAATGTCAGATTTTGGAAAGGAAGAAAGCCACCAAGAAAGAACATACAAATCCAGTAAAGTCCAGTAAAATACAGAGTGAAATCACTCTCCTTTACAAAAGTTGTGCGGATTCTATTTCACCATTGGCTACAGAGACCTGAACAAGGACTGAAGCCCAAAATGTAAGCAAGGAACATGGACACCTCTGCTTAGTTCTCAATAATTTTAAAAAACGAATATCATCTATGCTTTTTTTCTTGTAGAAAAATATTTTTCAATTAAATTGAATTCAATTTAAGCTCAGTGTTGCAATTCACTAAAAAAAACCTGATGTTGACAGTTCAGCCCCAATGCATGGCTCCAGCAGGTGTGGGCAGCTGCAGGCAGAAGCCCTGGCACAGCCTCCTGCTCCCGACCTCGCCACCGATGAGGCATGCCATGGCACCATGGCACAGGCTTCACTCGCTAATTAGGGACGTAACAAAGGATGGACATAGACGGAATCCACACCACATTTAAGGTGCTCTGGATTTGCAGTGTCAAGATAAAATCAAGACTAATGAACCTACCCAAATGGCATAAGCAATATTTCTGAACCAGGCTGCACCTGACGCATCCTTTATGTGAAGTGTCCAGGTGACCTGGACGCCAAAGCCAATGCTGAAAAACAAATGGGGAAAAGGCAGCCAATATTACCATGGCTGTATTAATACTATTAATAAAATGAAAGATCCGGATGACAAAACATTTTAATTATTTCCCTTCTTCCTCAATTCAGCATTGCAAGACTAAAAATTAGCTTTAATATCCTTTTTCTTTTCTTCTCTCTTTTCTAAATTTAACACGCTTCTCCTAGATGGTATTCAGAGAATTTCCATGGTGCTGGTTGGAACTGGGTCAGACCTACACAGGATCAGGCTGCTTCTAAAATTCTCCATGCTACTGCTTTAGAAATCTCATGAAGCATCTTACGTGGCTGTCCTCTCTTGGCAGTGAATATTCGTAGCTGACTGCAATATTCGGTACTCAGAAATACTCATTTTCTCTTTCATTTTGGATAAATACTTGCATATTTTGTCTATCTTCGAGAGCAGCAGAGCAAATATCCTGGCGTGTCCCCTCTGGAAGTGGGTATTTGGGTGCATGCAAGAGACAGAGAAGCACCAAGCAATCACCAGTACACTCGAGCACAGTGTTATTTCACGTGCTCTCCAGTCTCAAGGTCCAACGTCAGAGACACCGGCAGGATCTCACCCAGCTGACCGCCCCCAGTGCACCAGGGGTCCCCAGTGCTGTGCGCTCAGGGATGGGCAGCGCAGCCAAAAACCTTCTCCTGGCCCCAAACCCAGGCACCCCAAGGCAGTTGCACGATGGGCACCCTCACTTTGGGTTGTAAAGGGGTCGGACAGGCTCTGTCGGGCAGGAGGTGGGCACCTTTCCCACAGCTCTCACTTCCCGGGCAGACTTGTCCACGCCAGGGATGGATAATTGCCATGTTTCAATCCCCGGGCACTCTTGGGTATCGTCGTTTTTTTTTTGTGTCACTGCTGTTTGGTTGTCATCACAAGTCAAACCTGATGATTCAGGAAGTACCATTTTTGATGTAGTTTTGAAACACGCTTCTGTTAACCAAAGCATCTTTCTGTTGTGGGATTGCTGGAGACAAACGCCTATGGGGAAATATTCCAGGCTGGAAAAAAAAAAAAAAAAGAGAGAGAGAAAACTAGCCAGGTCACAAGGAGGAAGAATAAACAGCCCTTCTCCAGCGCTAACATCCACGGGGAAGGGTATAAATAGGCAGCTGTGGGGACAGAGGGATGGCAGCCTGATCCCGCGGCGATCTGTGCAGCTTGCCTTGGGCTCTGGGCTGGATCCTCGCTGCTCTCAGGATGAGCTGCGCCGTCAGGCAGGTCGTCACTGCCTGCTCCCAAGTCAGGAGCAGCGCCGGCAGCTCGGCAGCTGGGGCTGGCAGAAAGGTCTCCTCCGCCTCCTCGGGCAGACACGCCGCCTGTGACTTCGTGGCTGCAGCCGGCAACTTTTCGGGAGGCAGCTCCAGCGAGGGATTCCTTGGGAAGCCGCTGAGCGCCGGCAGTGCGGCCGGTGGGAACTTCGGAGCCGCGCCGAGGGCTTGTTCCACCATCGGATTTGGCGGCGGGGGCATGTGTGCTCGTGGTGTCGCTGGGGGCTTCGCCAGGGCTGGCGCTGGCTGCGGAGAGGGGATCCTGTTCGCTAACAATGAAAAGGCCACCATGCAGAACCTCAACGACCGCCTGGCCTCCTACCTGGACAAGGTGCGGCTCCTGGAGGGAGAAAACGCGGATCTCGAGTGCAAGATCAGGGAGTGGTACGCCAAAGTAGGGCCCAGCTGCGAGCCGCGTGACTACAGCTGCTTTCATAAGGAAATCGAAGATCTTCAAAACCAGGTAAATCAATGCTTTTCAAGAAAATATTTTCTGGGGCTTCGCTTTCGCATGCAGATGTCCAATGTGAAGCGGCAGAGGCAGCATCTGTCTCTGGAGGTGCACATGGAGCCACAGCTTATATGCAGTGTGACAGCTTGGGCGAGCAGCACACTGCTTTTATGGAGAACTGAGGTTTCTGCAGCTGCTCAACCAAGCTGGCATGCAGATTTTCCTGGTGAAATGCCATTTAACAGATTACTAACACCAATATACGAATTGATTATGGAAGGACTGGGTTGCAGTACCGTGGTAGATGTTTCCTCCAGGGCCTTCTGGAGCCAGCAGAGCCTGCCAGCCCAAATCTCTCTCTCTGTCTTCCTTTGCAGATCCTGTGTGCAGCTATGGAGACCAACAAAATCCTGCTGAACATTGACAACAACAGGATGACTGCCGACGACTTCAGAGTGAAGTGAGTACAGCCCCGTGCTGGATGGAGCAGTTCGCACTGCCCGTGGACTGGGCAGGTGAGCGATGGTGACACGGAGACCCTAACGCAGTGCTGGGGGCTCACCATTGCTCATCGTGCTGCCGTATTAAACACAGGTCTCTGTGAAAGGCACGGATAGCATTGGCAACGCTCATAGCATAGCATGCCTGAAGCAAGAGAAGAGCTCGCTCCTCATTTTTTTTCCCCATGAACCCGACTCGAGGACTTGCTGTGCCGTGCTGACGCGCTGGCTTTCCTCTTTGCCTGTGGTTAAGGTACGAGACCGAATGTGGCCTCCGGCAAAACGTGGACGCAGACATCTGCAACCTACGGCCCGTCCTGGACCAGCTGGCCAGCTGCAAGACCGACCTGCAGCTGCAGTGCGAGGCTTTGACCGAGGAGATGTGCTGTCTCAAGACGAACCACGAGGAGGTCAGATCCCTCCCCGCTCTTCCAGAAGCACGCGGAAAGAAGCCACGTCCCCGCTGAGCGTGGATGTTGCGCGTCTCCCCTGCAGGAAATGAGCTGCCTGAGGAAACAGGCGACGGGCGATGTGAGCGTGGAGGTCAACGCCTGCCCCGGCCCGGACCTGAGGAAGATCCTGGAGGACCTGAGGTGTCAGTATGAAACGCTGATGGAGCGCAACCGCAAAGAGACCGAGCAGTGGTATGCCTGCAAGGTACTGTACACGTGCCCAGCTCTACCCTACTCTGCTTATCGGGGGGAAAAACGAGAGATTAAGTCACCTCCGCTTAGTGGGGACGTCTGGGTGGCAGCAATCCTGCCAGGGGTGTGCTCTGCTGTTAATTATACTGCCAATTACAGTGCTCTTCTGCTCACGGCAGAGGAGGCACTGCGTGGTGGGTCACAGAGGAGGAAGGGGGATTTGGAAATGCTTGGGTGGATGCAGTGTGAGCAGAAGCAGCGTGGTCGAAGCCCTCCGGCTCGCTGAGATGCTGCGACGAGGTGAGGGAAGGAGTGCTCTGTGCTGACTTTGCAGGTGGAGGAGGTGAACCTGGAGGTCATCACAAGCAGCCAGGAGATAGAGTCAAGCAACAAACAGGTCACTGAGCTGAGACGCCAGCTGCAGGCCTTGGAGATCAATGTGCAAGCCCAGCTCACCATGGTAAGCGATGCCACCACGATTTGCATCTCAGATTCCTCACCTCCTTTGGAAAGCTTCACGACCAGAGTCGTCCAGCTGGGACACCCTGATCCAGCTTTTTGGTGGGACCTCTCCCATAAAGTCACGGCACCCTGTGACCAAGTGGGCTAAGCCTGCAGCGTACCTGGGTTCCTTTTTCCTGTTTCCATTCTCAGAAAGAAAATCTGGAGTCCTCCTTGGCAGAAACCGAATGCCGCTACAACAAATACCTTGCTGAGCTCCAGAGCCAGATCTCCTGCGTGGAGCAGCGGCTGGCCGAAATACGGGCAGAGATGGAGTGCCAGAACCAGGAGTACAAGACCCTGCTGGACGTCAAGTGCCGCCTGGAGCAGGAGATCCAGACCTACCACTGCCTGCTGGAGGGCGGGCAGCACGACATCATGTACGCAGACTGCAGACAAAGCGGGACGCAGTAAAACCTCCAGGCTTTGACTAGGGGATACAGGAAAACGTGAGATACAAGGGGTAAAAACAACGCTGCGGTGAGCAACCAGTAGTGACCTGTTACCAGACAGGGCTGGGAAGCAAATCACGAGGCACCTGAGGAGTTGGCTCTGCTCAATGTCCTGGGTGCGAGCTGAAGATCACTCTCTCCTCCTGGGGCAGTGCAGGTAGCTGGAGAGCCCACCAAGCCCACCGCCGCCACCCGGCACGGCGTGGCACCTCGCCACCTTCCAGGGAGGTTTTCAGCATGAGCTGGGCAAGGGCTTTTATGAAAACTGCCATTTTAACCGAGCTTTATTGGCTTTGCCACTGCTTGACAGGATTAGGGACTGGCAGTTAAACTAACTGAAACAATAAATTATCTAAACATTTTCAGTTTTGCACAACAATTTTAATTACAGTTTGGGGAAATTTAATTTGTATGCAAAGCAGTTGGCTCTTCCCTGCTTCCCATTGACGGAGATTTTGAAAGAGAGAGGCATGCTGTTAATATCATAAAGAGCAGCAGACACACATAACCAGCCCGAGCACCCACCTGCTCCATTGGTTTGGAAAAAGGTATTTTAATGGTAGTGCCCCGAAGCGGGCTCTCCTGGGCCCTCCAGTCCTAAATTAGTTACATGAAAAATCGGCTCTTGTTCCAAAATGCCAGTTGCAGTGGCTGAAATGAATTGTTAGAGCTCGTCGCAGAGCCTCAGGCAGTCCCGAGTGTCAGGACAGACAGGGGGGATGGAAGGTGTGCGAAATGTTGCTCCTAATGACCCTCGTGGCTCGAAGGGGAAACGGGACCTCAGCTGTGCCTCTGCCCCCTACGAGGCCACCAGAGGCTGAAGGGACACGGGGACAACTGCCTGGCACGGGGCAGTTCTCCAGGGTGGGACTGACGGGGGCTTTTCTTACCAGAGCTGTCTCCCTTCCACAGAGGGCCAGCGGGAAGAGGAGTCCCTGGAGTCCCACCGGCTGCAAGAAGCGGGGGGCTTAAAGCCAGCCTGTGCCAGCCGTGCCTGTCCTAAGGCTCTGGGGAGAGCAGGCAAGGTGAGGTGTCCTCCAGGAGCCTGGAAGGGTGGCCACGAGCGGCTGCTTTAGCCCAGCCATTTTCTCAGGGAAGAGGAGGAAGAGATGCCCAGGTTTTCTGGGCGGCGAGGAGCTGCAGGAGGGTTTCTTTTTTCCTGGAGAAAGGCAGCAGCAGGTCAGACAGCAGGATCGCAGGTGTGACCGCTGGTGGCAGAGCTTGGGGATTAATTAGGTACAGCAGAAAGCAGCAGGAAGGGATGCACCCACAGGACATTTATGCAAAGAAAATAGTTTTGTCACTGGGGAGTTACCAGGAGTAGATATGTTTCAATAAGAGCTTCAGCACGACATGAAAATGAAGAGCTGCCAGGGGGAGGCAAGTCAGTCATCAGCCTTTCAGCAAGGACGTAAGATCAAGCAAGCTAGGGAGAAGAGGGAAAAGAAATGTCAGTACAAGAGGAAGGGGGAACGTAAAAAAGGGACAAAGGGGTACGTGGAGGAAACCTCGGGACAAGCAGTGCTTCCTCCTCTCTCTTGGCAGGTCACTGCAGACAAGAGAGCTTCCCTGCCAGTCCCACCGCACGCCCCTCTGAGGAGGTCTCTCGAAGAACAAATCCTTTGGAAAAAGCAAGGCAAACGCCACCTGGCAGTTCTCAGTCCTGCGCATGGCATCAGTTGGAAGGGACCCTGCAGAACCGCTGCCGTGCTGCTGCCCCTCTGCCTGCTGCTTCCTCCTGCAACGCTGCTTGGAGCCCGCCACGGACCTCCACCCGTGGGCTAATCTGTCTCGTGGTCGGTCGTCTAACAGCTGCCAAAGCTTGTCTCTAATAAAACTCTGCTACTACTGATACAGCCTTGAACCCGCAAAGCAATTCTACAAGTAATTTATAATACAAGTATTTAAAAAATCCTGTTACTCAGATACTTATATTTATAATGTAGCTTTGGCTAGAAATCCACCCAGATCAGGGCTTCTCTGAAGTGTTTGATCTACTTCCACGAAGCAGTTATTTTAAGGGAAAAGGAAAAAAACACTCAGTGTTCCCATCTGCCACGCTGCTCCTGCTGAATTCAGCGGCTGCGGGATGCTGGTGGAGGAAAGGGAGCAGCCTGGTGCTGCGCAAAGGGCCGGTGGCCTCCAGGGGAGGAGGCGTAAGCTAAGACATGAAGTCGAAGGTGATAAGGAAAGAAACATTCAGGGAGGCTGGAGAGAGCACAGGGAAGCAGTTTCAGGGCAGTCCGACTGATGATCTCCTATTGAAAGAGACATCTGAGTGAAAACCAAGTTTTCATTAAGTAGGCGTGTGCTAATATAATATAATGGACTGTAATTCACAACACCTTTGAGGTATTAATGTGAATGTGCAGCAACAGGATAAAATCAAGAACAACAAGCTTTCCCCAATAATCCCGAGTAGTAATTTTGAAAGCAAGGTTCTGCTGGACCTGACACGCCCTTCTGGTAGAGGGAAACACTTCCAAGAGAAAATGCTAAATAAAGAACCCCTAAATGGATTAAACAAGAAAAGGGCAAACAGGAAGAACCAGCTGGCAACATGTGGGAAGATAAAAGGGAGAGACAAATTAATATGTGGGAGAGAAGTTTTTTAAAAGCAAGATACAGTAAACAGCAGGGAAAAAAAAAAAAAAGATGGTGGTGTTTCATTACCACAGAGAAAGGAATTACACATTTGGGAACACAGCTGCATTTTGCTGCTTGTGCAAGCAAAGGCTCGGGATCCAGCCCTCTCCTCCTCTCTTCCCCTAAATGCATCAGAGAGGCTGCGGATGGTGCTTACCCCCTCTGCTCCTCATTAGGCGGCTCTGTTAGCCCTTTTCTCTACCCAAACACCGGCTGGGGTTTGATGACTAACCTTATACACAAATCCAACATGAAGGCTTCCAACAAGAAGACTTCAGGGGAGATGATGAGCCTTAATTATTCTCTTGGCAAAAATTTCAGCGAAGATGGGACTTTTTGTAGCCAGCTTTCTTTCTCGCTCTGCAGAAAGCCTGGTCTGCTGCTGTGACATCTCTCCTGCTCTGCCCTTTCGGCTCCGAGCTGTGCCTTTACGGAGATGGCTCTCCACAGAGGGCCAGCAATCGAGGGATGGCCCCAGATGTCCCTTTGGGGATGGCCTCTCCCATCACTGGCCCAGTGAGAAGCAGCTCTTACCCCCGTGGGTTAATTGCTGTAATGAGCTTGTGGACAAGGCTCTGCGCTCAGTGCTGTGGCTCGTTCTGTACCTGCAGCCCCAGCAGCACCAACTGCACTCCTTCAGCATTATTTAACCTGGCTGCAGCACCTTCAAGGTCGCTGCATTAAACGCGATGCAGGAACATAAAGGTGCCTCCCCTGCCCAAAGACTTCATAACCTGCACGATTTCCAACCTGGAACAGCACAAGAAGAGGCAGCAAGGGATGACAAATGAAACACAGAAGACTGCAGTACAGCCTGCACAGATGCAGTACATCAGCACAGCCTGCAAGAGCCCGCTCTTTCCTTACTGTGCAAACCTTGTACAGCCAGCACGGAGGAGTAGGTCAAGGACAGACAGAGACTTAGGCTGAAGGTGTCAGACCGGGAGAAGGAACCTAAGGATAAAAAGAGCAGGGGTGGGTGCTGCAGGGAGATGAGGGAGAGCTGCCTCAGCACTCCGGAGGGCGAGCAGGAGCTATCGGCATCGCCGCCCACGGGGTCGATGAGACGCGCTGTGATCGCCCTGGCAGACACAGCACCTTTTTCTACGGAGAGAACAGACACATGCGAATTACAACATCATCAGAAAAAATCCCCGAGGAGCGAACATACCAGAGGTTTAAGACATGAGCGAAGCGGCAGAAGTTAAAACAATTAGATTGGCAAGCTGCTAATGCTGGAAATCAGCCATGAGCTAAGGACTGCGCTGCACACGCAATTATACCTGATTACAGGCACAACATATTTTTAATACTAAGCCGTGTTTTGGTGTAATGTACAAACTATAATTTCTCTATATAAGTCTGTTTTATGAAAGATGCAGACAGGCACCGTCTCACTCACACCCTTGCAACTATCTGTGGAACCTGTATTTTTGTTTCTTGGGTTGTGTAACATTTATAAAGAAGTATTTACATAAGTAAATTACTACTACAAGCAAGCAGGAGATTTCTCAGCCCAATACACTGAATAATTTCATTTAAACTGCCTGTATCACCACATACTGAAGGTGCACTGAAAACAGACATATTAGTACAAGTATTAAATAAAGATAACAAGAAAACTCTTAAGGGGGGGCTCTGGCTGGCCTGTGCCCTTGGCCACCTGCCTGTTGTGCTGCTGCACAGTACCTGAGCTCAGGAAGCACCTGAAATACTCCAGTCCTGCCTGCCAGGTTCTGGTTTGACCCCCATGGCTCTGCCAGCAGGGACCACAGGCTAAAACCTTGTTTTAGCTGGAAACAGCTTTCCATGCAGCAGTGAAGTTGTTCTAGTTTCATGCAGCCATCAGTATTCCCACCTATTCTAACACAATTTCTCTTCTATTCCTTTGCCATGGAAATCAGCAGTGCTTCCAGAGGTGCAGAGGCTGGGAAGCCTGGTGGCACCGTCATCGTCTGTTGGCACTGGAAAGAAATTAAAACCCTCCACAAAGTGAATCAGGAAAGGCTGTGAGCTTCAGGAGGTAGAAATCCATCTCTCTCCACCTCTATATTCCGCCGAACTTCATCACTAGCAAATGTTCAGAGGTAGTTTGAAGATGTGAACAGTCAGCAAGAAAGGAACTTTCAGTTTCTTTCACAGAGTTATCACCTTCGTCACCGAGGTGCATTTAAGACCTAAGATCACTCTATTACCAAGCTCCCTGTGGCAATTTTTTCGATTGCCTTACAGGAATTTTGCTAAACCTGGTGGTATAAATCAGTGAGTCACTAGCCAGAAAAAAAGTCGTGGTCTGCATTTGAAGGATGGGAGCATGAGGTCTGGAGCCGGCTCAGTATCACATCAAAGAAGGATTTAATAAGTGATGCCTAATGGCTATTATGCAAATCATTAATGGTAATTACAAGTGACAAGATAAAATCATATTCCAGTGTGGTTGCACAAACATCACTGAAGCAATGCTTATGAAAGCAAAGTTGTCAAATTAGACACGCCCTTCTCGTAGTTGACACAAGGCAACACTATCAGCTTTGATAAGCAAAGCGAGCAGAACGTGGAGGAGACAGGCTGACGATCGGCAAAAAGGCTGGGTGCTGGGATGGCCATGGGGCCAGAGGACCAAACCCCACTGCCCATCGCATCCCTTGAAAATGTAACGTTGTCCTGCTGCCCCCCCAGTGCCCATCCCTGTGTTGATATTTATCTGCATTGCCTCCTCATCTGCTTTCACATCTCTCTTTTTTGCCATAATGACCACAGAAGTTACCAGTGTTTGCACGGACACTGTGCTGACAGCACTGCTAATCCTGCTGGTGAACCGAGTCTCATTGCTTCCTTTACTTCCATCTGTATGAAACCATTTGCTTCCTTCCATCACGTCAGGGTTGTAAATCCTTGGGGGACATTTTTACGTCTCAGGCTTGCCCAGTCCTTTTCCACGCAGTACTCTGCCCCGAGGCTATGCTCCTGGTCTACACAAGCACAAATAACAGCTGCAGGAGGAAAAGGGAATTAGTTTAGTGGAGAAAAGAGCCGGTACTGGGGGATGTTTCAGCACGAGATGGTGGCACACAGCTGGAGAGCACAGAGTGCCATGCAGACAGCAAACACAACAGCACGTTTACACCTGATCCATGGCGAGGTCTCAGCTTGGAGCCTTGCCATGGTCGTAAGGAAGAGCACGGCCCTGCATGGCATGGAGTGAAGCTCACCCATGGCTCTGCAAGCTGCCTGCCTGCCAGCGAACACCACGGCAGCCATCCAGCACATGGAGCAAACGATCAAACTGCTTCTAAAATACAGCTTGGTTGGCCAGGGACTGGCTCCTGGATGCATTTGCTGCATCAGCCCCATGTCCATCTCCCAGTGAAACTGGCAGGAGCCCAGTAAAGCTCCAAAGG